CTGTTGAATTGAATGTATATTATGCAATTGTTGAGTAGAATGGTCTGTAAGTATCTGTTAAGTCCATTTCTTTCAGGATATAGTTTAAATATATTGTTTCTTTGTTGACTTTCTGTCTTGATGGCCTGTCTAGTGCTGTAAGTGGAGTATTGAAGTCCTACTATTATTGTGTTGCTGTCTATCTCATATCTTAGGTCTATTAGTAATTGTTTTATACATTTGGGAGCTCCAGTGTTAGCTGTATATATATATTTAGGATTGTGATATTTTCCTGTTGGACAAGATCTGTTTTCATTATATAATGTCCCTTTTAGTCTTTTTTTAACTGCTGTTGCTTTAAAATTTGTTTTGTCTGTCGTAAGAATAGCTACTCCTGCTCACTTTTGGTGTCCATTTGCATGGAATGTTTTTTCCACCCCTTTTCCTTAAGTTTATGTGAGTTCTTATGTGTTAGGTGAGTCTCTTGAAGGCAGCAGAGAGTTGGTTGGTTAATTCTTATCCATTCTGTAATTCTGTATCTTTTAGGTAGAGCATATAGGCCATTTACATTCAATGTTAGTATTGAGATGTGAAGTACCATTCCATTTACTGTGATTTTGTTACCTATATACCTAGATTCTTTTTTATTGTACTTTCGTTTCATAGGTCCTGTGAGATTTATGCTTTAAAGAGGTTCTGTTTTGGTGTGTTTCCAGGATTTGTTTCCAGATTTAGAGCTCCTTTTAGCAGTTCTTGTAGTGCTGGCTTGGTAGTGGCAAATTCTCTCAGCATTTGTTTGTCTGAAAAAGACTGAAAAAGATCACACACACACATATACACACACACACATGCTTCCATATTTCTCCAATAACGACTGTATGTTCTCCATCCATATTAAGCAAAATAAACTTTTCTGAAGTGTGACCCAATGGACACAGGTTCCTGTCTTCAATGAGTTTGATGCTTTATTACCATGCAAAGCTGTGTTGTCTCAGGTTTGTTCATCTTCCAGCCTCTACATCTTTCCCAGAGGCCTATAGAAGCATAAAAAATGAGGTCAATTACTCTGTCTTAAAGCACAGAGCCACCTGGCACTGGGTGGCCACCCTCTGGCCACCCTGAAATCTAGCCCCCAGGATTCTGAGATACCCCACTGACCAAATAATGCTATTAGTAGGGCATCTCCATACTGTCACCTGTAGGAGGAGAGGGGAGCTATACGGGGGGCTTCTCAGAAAAGCCTCACCAGTGGGTTGCTATGGGGTTAGTTATGCAGGTTGTGAGGATTGGGAAATAATGGTAGGTTCATGTTTACTTTCATCTAATTATTCACAATTTCATTGGCTTTGATCCTAATCCCTTTCAACCTTCATCGTTCTAGAGTCTTTTAAAGAGTGATTTTTAAAACCATTTTTTATCTATGGGTAGCCTCCCCTCCCTGACTCCATCATTTCAGTTATCCTTATCTGTCTATACCTTGCTCCCAAGTGTTCACCTGCTGGTTTAGGCCAGCTGCCAAGGTGTCATGCTCTGGCAATTGCTTGAGATAACAGTTTCCAAATGTTTACTACCTTCAGCTTTGTCTCCTCTCTCTCGAGCTTCAAGAGTTGACTCTTAACTAAAGTTTTCTAAGAATTTTAAAATCAGTCCATGCCCATCCTACCTGAAGTCCTCATAATTTTAAAATTTTAAAAATCACATCCCCTTTTAACCTTTGGCTTTGCATTTTGAAGGCATGTAACATGTAATCAATCTTGCATACAGTAAGCAATAAATTCACATTTTGGATTATTGATTTCGATAATGGTTCTGAATAACAAAATATATTCCTTCGTGTAAACTCCCATTTATAATATTATCAAATGCATCTGTGGTATGAGGAACTGGCTGTAGATATACCTGTGACATTTAAGGCAAAAGATAAAATTCTCGAGAAGATTATTCTTCTGTGTATAATGCATGGAAAGTATACTGAAGCTATTGGAAGTTCAGACAGTAACACTGGATCACCTGAGTCAGAGAACTCTTCCCCTGGTGTATCAGTACTGTGACAGTGGGCAAGTTATCATCTCTCTCCAAACTTCAGCTTCATCATCTATAAAAATGAGAACAATAATAACATACATCTCGTGTGATTTTTTTGAGGATTAAGTGAGATAATCTCTACAGCACTGGCCCATAGAAAGAGCTTAATCCATGTAAAGCTATTATTATTGTGCTACTGGTCCTTCAAGTAAATAATTCGGACATTGACTACGTCAGTGTTTTTCAAGTGTAAACAGAAGGTCATCTCTGTTAGCATCAACTTATGTATGTTTAGGCCAGGCACAGTGGCTCATGTCTGTAATCCCAGCACTTTGGGAGGCCGAGGCAGGTAGATCACCTGAGGTCAGAAGTTCGAGACCAGCCTGGCCAACATGGTGATACCCCGTCTCTACTAAAAACACAAAAATTAGCCAGGCGTGCACCTGTAATCCCAGTTACTGGAGAGGCTGAGGCAGGAAAATTGCTTCAACCCACGAGGTGGGGGTTGCAGTGAGCCGAGATTGGGCCACTGTACTCCAGCCTGGGTGACCGAGTGAGACTCCATCACACACATACATACATACGCGTGCGCGCACACACACACACCCCCCAAACAAACAAAAAGACAAAAAGTATCAACTTAGGTACATTTAGAACATGCAGATGCCTGGGCCCACCCCAGATTTACTGAATTGCTCTTTCTCACGCAGAGGTATAAGCACCCGGGTTTTACCAGATGCCACAGTATATGTTGATGAAACATGCTGCTGATGGATGTGTGGCCTGGGGCTACGGGGCTCCTGAGCTGTTCTGTGTCAGCTGCAGCAGCTAGAGACTGAGTGAGCAGTGTCCACCCACTTGGCAATGCACTCGGTGACCCATTGGCCCAAATTTCTAGCAAGTTCTTAACGACAGTTTTAAGGTGGAGTTACACATCGTGATGCACAGGAGCTGTGCTCGCTCGCCCTTGACCCACATGCCTCTATGAATCATTTTCTGCATTAGATTTAGGGAAAAACTAGGAGCGTGTGAGGAAAGAGTAAGTCCTAAGGAGGTAGAAAAATGCTCTCTGTTTAAGCTGCAAGAGAATTGATTCAGGCGCCAGAGGACTGACATGGCGAATAAAAAAAGAATGGCATCTAGAAAAGGGGTATGTTGGTGCTAACCACTGGACATCTTTGGATTTTCTGCTCTCTATATCTTGGGAACACCCGCTGGGGGTGAGGTGGTGGGTGGACAGTATGAAGGGTCTTTGGTCTGTGTGAATAGATACTTGTTGACAAGAGGCTAGTTTCAAGCCATTAAAAATCTAGTTTTACTGGCATCTCAGAAAGGCAGCAATTGTTCTATTTCCCTGGCACGATTATCCCATGAGGCAGGCTGCAACTTGTCCTATTTGCCCAAGCCTTGGTTAAGTCCCCAGGGAGGACAGTCAGATGGTGACATTTCCAAAGCATATTTGTCTCCAGATAGGAAGAAACTCACTGAAGTGGCAGTGAGTCAGCTTCTTCCTGAGTCCCCAAAGTATAGAACCTATAGTCTGAGAGCTCTTGTGCCGGGCATCTCTGTGTCCTATGGACAATCAGGCCCTTTTGGCAAGGTCTGACTCAATTGGTTTTGGGATACACCTCTGTGTATTTGAGGAAGTTGGCATTTAATGGTGCCCCGGGTTGCTGAATGGTCTTTGACGAATGGTGACTCAAACTTCTCAGCCCTGGAGGAGAAGAAACAGGGCTTTGCTATCTTTCCGACCCAAGCTTGGGTGCCTACCGGCTGGGTGACACTGGACAGGTGAACTAACTTCTCTGAACCTTAGACTCCTCATTTTGCTGTCAGTGTTGTGAAGATTAAATTAGATAATGAGTGAGAATACTCATAGATAATTCTGGCACATAGGACGTGCTCAGAAAATGGTACCTGTGGCCAGTGCTGAAGGTACCAGTATTGCTGCCATTGTTCTGGAACTTGAGACATGGCAAAGGCTCTTCAGACTTCACTTCAGGGATTAAGTCCTGTGCCTTAATGCCCTCAGCAAACAAAATTCAACAGTCTAGTCCAGCATAGGTAGATTAATAACTCCTCTTTACCTTGAAAGACAGCTGGGCTTCTTCAAATAGATTAATCAGAGGAAGTAAATGCTAAAATTCAAGTGTAAACAACGTAGTCAATCCTATAAATCAATGTGTAAGCATGAGTGATGTATTTTTAAGAACCTAAAGCCAAAAGTTCAGAAATAGAAAATAATGACTTCTCAACTTTGGGCTGCATTAACTATATGGCATCTGTCAAGAAAAAGAAGATGATCTATTTGCTCAGAAAGCAACTCAAAGCATTGCTTTAGAAAGGAAAAAGAATGATCTACAGGCTAACATAGCTGTAGGCAGCATGTGCTTTTTGGTTATCCTAATACTTCACTGACTAATGTTAGATAAGAGAAACTAATGGTTCATAAATGTATTTTCCTGATGTTGCTCTAAGATGTGCCCCTCATCTGGAGGTGAGGCAGGGTTTTCCTTTTCCACCATCCTAGCTGTGCCTACCCTCCATGCCATGGAAGTCAAGGTATTCCACTGTGTTTTAAATGAATATATATATATGGAGTCTTGCTCTGTTGTCCAGCCTGGAGTGAAGTGGCGTGATCTCAGCTCACTGCAACCTCCGCCTCCCGGGTTCAAGTGATTCTCCTGTTTCAGACTCCTGAGTAGCTGGGATTACAGGAGTGCACCACCACACCTGGCTAATTTTTTTTTTTTTTTGTATTTTTAGTAGAGACAGGATTTCTCCATGTTGGCTAGGCTGGTCTCGAACTCCTGATCTCAGGTGACCCTCTCTCTTTAGCCTCCCAAAGTGTTGGGATTACAGGTGTGAGCCACTGCGCCTGGCCCAAATAAAAATAATTTTGAATTCACGAATCCATAAGATTAAACCATTTGAGAGTAATTAGCAATTTCCAGAATTAATGGATAATGTTCAAATCACTTAAAAAAATCCAACAGTTAGTAATACAAAATTATTTATTAGTAAAAAAAGAAGGAGAGAGCATTTGTTCATTACACAAACAGGTAAAACAATTGAAAGTTTCCTATAAAAATTTAAACTATGAGCATACAAAGTAGGAGTGGCACAATGACCGGGTTTGAGGACTTCATATGAATGCCTAGCATCAGAAAATTGGAAATAGTGACATGTAAACTGTGCTTCGGATATTGTGTTACCAAGTTGCATATTTTGCACTGTCATCTAGACGTGGTAGAAACATAGATATACCCGTGCCATGTTCTGAATTACTGTAATTTCTATTAACTATAGCAGATGTCACAGTTTGTTTCCCTCTTATAGAAATCACTGGCGGCGGCTGCTGAGGGGGCAAAGTCCACACAGTTTGTGCTTGGGTAGGAGTACTCTGCCGCCTGGAGAGCATCCAAGTCCTCTGCCTCACACGATGCGCAGTAGCAGATGGAGGCGGTGGCTGAGGAGAAGCAGCTGTACTGGGCGTGTGAGGGCAAGTGGTGGTGACAATGGTCTTCTGGGGGGTAGCTACAGGTTCCGGTGTCCAGAGAAGCAGGGGAATTGTAATTCTCTGGAGCATATGAATGCAGCTGAGCTGGTGAGTAACTGTAGTCTAAGGAGCCAGAGAGAGTGGAGGAATTTGAAGGTGATCCCGGGATCTAGAGAAATGACAACCAAGAAACAAAAAGCTTAATAACTTAGACAGGATCGAAAGAACTGAACAGTGTGGGTTTAACCAATGCAGAGTGAGAAAATGAGGGGTAAAAAACCAAACCAAAGCAAACAACACCCAACCCAAGTCTGCAGAAGTAATTTTATTTGCTGACTACACGATTTCATGACACCACAATCTATAGTTACCTATTTCTTTCCCAACAATAAATTGCCTTGCTTCGCTGGCTTCCTTTGTTATAATCCTACTTTACAGGGTGCTCTGTTCTGAAACCACAAAATCCCACTGTGCTTCAAGTCACCTGCACATCAAATCCTGCTGTAGGCCACAGTCTAAGATGCAGGTGGCACCCTGGATGTTTCTCCTTACCCTCACCATGGAGAATCAGGTGATCATACAAAGGCATAACTTGGATCCTCAAGGATCTTAGAGTATCTCCGGGACATGCCAAGATGAGTCACTACCTGTCCCGCCACTAAAGTCTTGTTCCCTGGAATGAGAGCTACTGTCTGTTTTCTCTTAAGCAAGTCTGCAATTGTTACTGAGAAAACCTAACTTGGAGGCTGGGAAGGAACTGGCTCACTGGGGCCCCATATTTTCCCCGTGACAATGCGCATATTCTACAGAGTTAACTTCCTATCCCCACTGAAATTTAGTCTGATGCCCACACAGACTTTTGACAACCCAAAAGCAAAAAGTATTTACATTCCTTAAAAAAGAAAACCTTATAACTTAAGGTTTACAAAAAAACCCTGTGAGTCTCTAAAAGACAACTAAAATAACTAGTTTCCACTAATAGAAACCTTACTTCATTTTGCAGGATAACACATTTTCAAACATTTGAGATCCACCAAGAACAACCAATTTAATTTTTTTCAAAGATCACGGCTTCATTTTTACTAACCATCTCAGACCCAAATGAGTTATTGTGCTTATAGCAGACTAAAACAATCAGTTAGTAGAGCCAGTTCAATGATAAAACAAAGCAAAACCTCCCCCTAACGAAATGAAGTTTGGTACCATATATACACAGCCTTAATTCCATTTCCAAGAACTCAAAATTCCATCAAAAAATCTAAGAGCCATTGTTTAAACCACTGACTTCCAATTAGTAGGTGTCTTGACTTCACAGTTTAAAAAACATTAAATGAATATTGCCAGGAACCTCTTTTTATTGCTACACACCAACTTACTTGGTGGCCTAAAAATCTAAATCTTGGGAAATCTGTATTATGTGTGTATCCAAAGGTTTATGCCCTGCAGTGTGTGGCTACTTCTATACATTGACTTTTAAATTCTTCTCTGCCTGTTTCCTTGGATGATTTCCTTGCTGATAGTTTTTGTATGATTTCCCACGAGGCGGTGCAAACTCATAAAGCACTATTACCCCATAGTTAGCAACAATCAGGTATATAAAAAACTGAGATAAATTACCAGGCTCTGGTTAAAGCAGAAAGGGGTGGCCTGGAAGCTGTCTGGGAAATGGTGCGGAGCACTTTGTGTGGAATTGAGCAAAGGCTCCGGGTGCATCTCTGTCTGAAGGTAGGAATCAAAGATCTGGTCGAGGCAGCTTGAGTTTTCTTCACATGAAACACAACTGGAAAATTCTCCCCGTTGAAAATAAGTGGGCGTGGAAGAAATTGGTTCAGGTTCCAAATATAGTCCTAGAAGAGAAAGGAAAAAGACAGGTTTTTGCATAAAAATTGCAAAACACAGATTTGAATGGAGATCTATACTCTGAATATTTACTATGTCTAGGGGGAAAAGGGCTTAACGAGGCCAGAAAAGTAAACAGGAATGCAATTTTGACTTTTTAGTTGTCCTAGCTAATTCAAGCTCTAGGGAAATGAATGTGGTTAATAATGTGGAAATTGGCTGTAAAAGTGGTTAGGGCAAAAATAAAAGGATGGTGACCCAATCTGTGTCCAAGTGTCACACTCAAATAATTGCTCAAGCTTCCCCTTTCTTGGACTATAAAACCATGGACATCCAGCCCCTACCGGCAGTTCACGTAAACCTCTCAGAAGTAACTGACAGAGTTGTTGAGGCTTTGAGAAAACTTCTGATGCTATGGGAAATAATTCTCTTGACTTAGGGTGATTGCTTTTCTGAACTTTTCACTCTTACTCGGTAACTTAAGTTTGGAGGAGAGAATTTTGAGAAGTGATTTAAATGATAATGCAAATGATAATCATGGAAACCAGGAGCATAGAGTACCAATTAGCACTACTGGCTTGAAATTACAAAAAGCAAAAATGTTTTCTCAGTGGACACGCTAACATCATAATGTGATCAAAGTAAGTTGTTAAATGTCAAACAAGAATAATCAACAAACATTTCTCCTTTTCCATTTTATTATTAATAGGCCCAATTTGTGATAATTATCTGTAAATGCTGGAAGAAGAGAGGATTAGAGTGTTCTCATCAAAGGGACTAAAGGACACTGGGTTCTTCTTGAGGTCTCAAGTTGTTTAGAGTGAAGCTACAGTGACACATTTAGTGGGGAGCGGCCATAGGCAGAGGTTTCCTTGAATACGACCTCCTTAAACTCTTAGCTGTTGAGTAGCAGAGGTAGGAGTGTTTATGTAATTGAGTTATTCTTATTGGGCTGAGAAAACCTACACTTGTTTGAACTGCTTTCTGGGAAGAGAGAAGGGGAGGGAAGCCCCTGTCGGCTGGAAACTAAAGGAGCAGAGGAAAGGCATTATTTGAGTGCCTCGGGATGTTCTGTATGCCATCTAACAGTGCACTAAAAAAAGATAAGTTCCTGAGAACAATTCTGATTTTGCAGTTCAGTTTAGTTACTTGGCGATGAGGAACTGGAATAAATGTGAAGAACAAACTCTTGGGACAATATAGCAGAGAGTAGAGAGTTCAGAAATGAAGACAACATTTGCGCTTGTTTTCTTGCTGGGCTTGCATGTGGAGTGACTGTGGCCTTTTTCACCTTCTGATTGGTTGGATTCCAATTAAATAGTGGTGCCTATCTTAACCCCTGAATCAAGCACTGAAAGACTTTCGAGATGGACTTTTGAAAGAGTGTTTGAGGGAACTGTAATGCTGGCTGTACTGACCTGCAGAAGATGGTGCAACTGGATCTGAAAGGTGGACACTGCTGCCTCCGGACCGCTGTCAAAGCAAGAATATCACCGTGAAGCAGGCTGAAAGAAAAGTTCTAAAGGGTAAGCTAAGACATTTTGATGAGAACTATGTTTCTGCTATAAGGTAAGCCAGATTCCTCCTTCTCAGAAAAAGTTGCCTTTTTAAATACAACCAATGTTATGTTTTATTTAGATTCAGTATTTATGTTTGCTTGTTTGGGGAGTTTTTCCCTGATATCAGATTCTTCAACTTAAATTTTAAAAGTGATTAATTTTGACTAAAAAATTAATGGAAATAATTTTATGTGGCAAAAATGTAACAGTTTGAGAAAATGCAGCAAAAGGCTTCCTATTAAACTGTTTGATTTAAAATTGATAAGGATTAACATTTATTTAACCCCAACTGTCTACGGCTTAGTCAATTATTTTTCTCAACATTTTTGTATATCATCTGGCTACTTAGCCTTAGGGATTCGTTTCCCCAAAGAACACAATTCCTAATTTTAATCCTGAGTAGCTAAAAATATTCACATGTTCTTAGTATACACGAAACATTAAAATAGAAAATATTTTCTTAAAGCTATAGTTGGTGAGTTGGAACCTACTTACATTCTAGTTAATGGTCAGGAATTATTCCAGTACTTTGTATGTTTTGTGCTATTTTCTATAAAAGTTGCTTTTATTTAAACTACTGTATTTAAATACTTGAAAGTTTATGAGACTGCTCTTTTTAACTATGTAAAGTAAAGCAGCCTGCATTTTTCAGTTGAATTGATAATTATACTGAGTAATTTAGTTTTTTTTTTTTTTTTTTTTTTTAATTTCAGGTGGTGGCTTTAAAGTTTAAAGAGACCTGCGTTGCTCTGTGATTCTGTGCTGGGAAGCCGAGCTCACCACACCTCTTTTGGGTTACAGGGCATACTCACTCCCATACCGTGAGCCACAGGGAGAGCTGTGCAGGCAGCCACTGCTGAAACAGGAGGCAGCATTAATTTTGAAAATGATCTGTGCTGTAATGTCATGAACCAGGAAGCTGGAATCCTTTACCAGCTCTTTATGCAAATATTTGGCTGCAGCTTGAGCTGAAGGACTTGGAAGGAGTGTGTATTAAAAAATCTGCCTCATTGTAGAGCTTTCCTTAACCCCATTTCTCCCCCGGATTGGCCTGTTTGTCTGCCTCCTCCCCATGTTATCTCCCTGAGGTGTGTTTACAATATCCTACTTGATATTATCTTTCGAGTCATGGGTTCGCTTTCTACTTTGCTCCAAGAATACAAAGAAAGGCAACTCTGTCTTAGATTTCAAACAGCACAAAAATTCACAATCTACAATTTATAAAAACACATCAAGACTGTTTAAAAAATTAATGATTTAAAAAAAGAAAGGTAAATGATATCTTTTGATAATGACTAACTCAAGTTTCCTTTTACCCCGAAGGCAAGTGTGTGTGTGTCTGTGTGTGTGTGCACATGCACATGTTTGCAAATTGTTCTGGCTGAAATAAGTTTTTTAAAATCAAGTGTTCCAATCCAGCATACACATAGTTTCTTCTGGCACTGCTTGAAGAATATTTGAGTTCTTTACTGAATATCTGTCTCAACCTATAACTTCCATTCATGATTGCCTTCTTAAAATTTCAAATTGTGGATACTACTCTGACTTTATAACAAATTAAGATAGATTTCTTGCTGCTTTGTAGTATTTGATATAATTAACTCTTTCCTTGGCTTAAAGTTCCCCAGAGGCATCCTTCAACAAATGAACAAACTGGGGATCATCTCTGTTATACCAGAAAGGCCTACACTAAGGAGCAGGCATACATCATCCCCTGGTATCTGCTACCCTTGCCTACTAAGTGCGCTCTCACAGCTTCCTTAGAATCCCAGATCCTTCCGATGGCTTCCAGTGAGGGATTTTACATCTGGCTGTTGTAATTAAATTATATGTGTGTTACTCCTACTTGCTTGCGAGGCCATGGGTTGATGCAGTCTTCTGGGAAGCAAAGGAGAGCAGGCTTTACTCTGCTGTTCCTATAAGACACTGGTTCAGAAATCCTGCTTTATTTCTCAGGAGGGAATTCAGAAAAATTTAAATAAGAAACCGGTCAGATACACAAGTGAAATGTCTTACCCTTGCTTTAGCTCCTGTAGTGAGCTAAGAAGGGAACAGTGGCCAGACCCATCTGTAAGGGCCCAGCAGCAAGTGCCACACTCACAAGGGGCTCTCCAGGTGCAGCTGAGCAGAACTCTACCAAGTAGCAAAGCTCCTTAAGGAAACATTACATTTTAGAGCAGAACTCTACCAAGGACCAAAGCTCCTTAGGGAAACATTACATTTTATTATGAATGTCTTGATGACGTTTTTCTCCAGAAGCGTTTTCCAGTTCCCTTGTACCTGGTTTTATTAATTAGATAACCATCTCTGAACTGAAGGGGTTGAGGCTGTCAGACTCCTGCTTAGTATGGTCAGATCTGCAGAATGATGAATTTAGAGAGTAAAGAGCCAACGGAAGGGTTTTTATATTACACTAAGAATAAGGCCTTAGTCCTACTTTTAGCGTCGCCACGAGCAACTTCAAGGTTTTGAATTTTACCTGTAATCGAAGGACGGATCTCTGATCTACTTACCTCTGCTGGTTGTTATAAAAACTAAATGAAATAGTGGCTGTGCCAAAGTGCTTTAAAAGAACCACTGCGAAGTCCTCTAGAAACATAAGGGAGTGTTAATGTGTTACCTGAAATTCTGCACATGGAGGTCCTAGCTTTTCCAGCTGCATGTGCTGTATATGCCAAATTGCAGCTGGCTCACATCTGAACTCTAAACTCTGAGCAAAGGGTATGATTGAACATTACCAAAGAGCTGGCTTTCAATCCTTGGTTGGAATTTTATTTTAGTTGCTTTCCCCAAATAATATTATTATTTCTCAAATAATGACCACTAACATTTATTGAGCACTCACTATGTGGAAAGCATTCTTCTAAGGGCTTTGTATGCAATAACTCGATTAACCCTCACAAAATCCTATCATCCCCAATTTGAAGACGAATAAACAGAGGCAAGAGAGACTGGGTAATTTGCTTGAGGATACACACCATGGAGGAGCTGAGACCTGAGCCCAGTCCATCTGGTTCTGGAAACTGTGTTTACCTCCCCTACATCATTTGCCCCCTCCCATTTCATGAAGTTCAACTGTCAAAGGCCTATTTCATGAAGTCATGTATTGCACATGAACAGTATCAGGCACAAAAACTGTTGTGGGGCCGATACCAATGGGCTGGAGAAGGACCAATCCTAACAGGCAATACGAGCCCCAGCTGTCAGATCCTACGTTCACACCCAAACCAACCCCCAAGCAATTGTATGATGGAGGCTTTTTAGGGATGAGCTGCCCTCTCTTGGGCAATAATCTCACCTAGTTTATTTGGTTCTGCTGCTGCCCTGAGTGCCTTTGGCAGTAAGGATACACCAAAGGATGGTGTATAAAGTGTCAGTTCATAACTGAGCAGTCATTGCTCAGTTCAATTTTGTAATAACCTGGAACTGCTTAAGGTGTTGATACATTTTAAGGAAGTGGTCCTGTACTCCAGCTGTCTTTTCTGCAGAGACAGGGCCCTTTTCTGCTAGATACTTTGGGTGACTGATGATTTACAGATAAATGATCTCAGAGGGTGAGTTCCAGAACAATGAGGAGAGAAGGGAGGATGTTCTACACAGTTGCTATTCTGGAAGGGGCCCCTAAAATGAGGTGAATTTCTGGGAGAGATTTTCTATGGGTCTGCAAGGGCTGTACATTCCCATACACTGTCTTCCTAACAAAACGATGTCTACTTACCTGCTGGCCGCTCCTCCCCCTGCAGAGGACCAACACACTTTTTATACTTTACTTGCATCCATGGGGGATGGATGGGCTCCCCCAAATCCTGAGACCCACGACATGCCCCAGCTGTCCTCTGTAGCTTTCCGATTGGGATGCATCTGGCTACAGAAGTCATAGGAACAGCAGAGAAAGGCCAGGTCTGGGGATGGTGAGTGCGTGGGGCCTTGGGTGGCCTCCACACCTTGCAGACACAGGGTTGAAAGAGGCCTGGCATGGGCTGCCGAGTGAGGGAAGGGCTTATGCTTACGGTTCCCCCGGAGGCCGCCTGGTGTGCCCGTCTTTGCTGCAGCAGCTCCTTCACTGTGATCTTCACTCGGACACCTTGATACACCTTCGGTTTTTCTGGAGAAAGGCAACTGAGTCAGTGGTCGAGTCCAAGGTCTGGGTGCCAGGGTGCAGAGTGGGGGACCCTTTTATAGGCAATGGCACCCAAAGTCAAGTTTCTAAGTTCGGAGAACACACACACAAAATGTCAAAGGATGGTAAAAACCCAAACATCTCAGACTCGAAAGAATGAAGAGTGGCTGAACAGGTTTCAGGGCCCCGGTGGGAACAGAACCCATGGAAATTTGTGAGGCCACCTACCCCTGGCTGGGCCTCAGTCCTAGGCCAATAGCATACAGGTTTTTCTGCTCTGGAATGTGGAGACCAGTGCAGTGGAGCCCACCACTCTGGTTAGGCCGGGGGAACCTAGGCTTTCAGACCCAGCCTGCTGAGAGAGTGTATTATGGACCTGGGGAGGGGCCAGGCCTGGGGCAGGGGGCTGTCTCCGATTATGGCGTCTCATGTAGCCCTCCCCACTGTGCTGTTCCCACTAGCGTGGAAGTCCCGAGTCCCCTCCTTCTCCACTTGGCCAGGTATGGCTTCTGTACAGTCTCCGACCTCTGTGTGCCCTTGGTCTGGAAGCCAGCCCTGGAGCAAGCGGTGAGGTTTGGTCAGCCCAGTTCTTGGCGGGCGAGGGACCTGCCAGACTGACCCTAGTAAAGGGGCCAGGCACGAGGAACTCCCTCCCTCTCTCCCTTCTGTCTTTTCCTTCTGCGCGCTCTCCCTCTCCCCTTTTCTCCGCCTTTTTCGCGCTCCATCTTGCCCTCCTCCCTCCTTCGCCCCCGCTCGTGCTCTACCCTTCTTCCCTTCTCTCCCCACCCCCTCCCTTTCTGGGGCAGGCGTTTCTCCGAGCGCACTGAGGCTTCGGGGCGAGTCCGCGCAGCGCGAGCTGGGAAAAGCCGTCCGGGGCTCCCGATGACCCTGCACTCCGCCGGGAGGCCACCCTTCGCTAGGGGCCGCCCCCGGGCTGGCGGGGCCAGGTCGGACTGCCCCAGCTTGCGGGAGCTGGCGGGCGCGCGCCAGAGGGGTTCGCTGGGAGGGACCCCTGCGCGCTGGGTGCAGGGGCAGCCTCGGCCCCGGGTCCCGAAGAGCCGCAGTGAGTAGGTTGGGGACCAGCTGTTTGGCCAAGCCGGCCGGGCGAGCTTTCAAGGTGGAGGTGGCCGCAGGAGTCCTCGATGGCTCCGGCCCTGACCACGACCCTGCAGTGAGCGTCCAGGAATCCGCGGGGAGGAGCTGGGTGCGGCGGCCGAGGGTGGTCGCGCGTTCAGCCTGGGCGCCTGGCGATAGTGCCAGGATGCCAGCGCCTCGCCTGGTCACTGCGGGGACCGCAGCTGGACAGCAGGGTTCCCCCTCAAGCCGGATTCCAGGAGCCAGGGTCTCCCTAGGAAAGGGGATTGCGCTCTTCCTAGCCCGGACCCAGGGAATCCCGTGCCCAGCCCGCAGGGCCCAAGCGCCGCGCTCTCTCCGCGCTGCAGCCTACCGCAGCCCCACCACCCCGTTCCTCGATCGGCTCCGGACTCCGCGGGCGGGCGTCCCTCGGGTCCGCGCAGGGACCGCCACTGCTAGGCTCATTGCAGCCGGCGCGCTCTATCCCGGTCCCAGGTTCACTGTGAGCCTCTAGCTCCCCCAGTCGCCGCTTCTGGGCGCGCAGGGTCCGCGCCGCGATGTCCCAGGACACAACAGTGGATACGTGGTAGGGCGGGCGGGGGCCTGGGGTACGCGGACGTCCGGAGCGGCCAACTCGGCCTCTGGGCCTCTGCCCTCCGGGACAGGCGCTGAGTGGGAGCAGCCACAGCGTGGCCCGCGCCCTCTCCGGATCCCCGGCCTTTACTCGCATGCCTTGACTTTGTGCCTCTGTGTTCTATGTAGGAAAAGCTGTGGAAACACACCCGGATTGAAATGCCCCTGGCCCGCCTGACCCGACCCCAGGAGAAGCAGCCGAGTTACCCGACATCTTGGTCAGCAGGAGCTGGGTCGGTGGCTGGATGCTGCCGCTGCAGGGACTCAGCGCCTGGGAGGGCTCCTGGGCAGGGAGAGAAGCAGAGATGCAACATTTTTAAAGTTTCACAAAGCATCCGGCTGCACCCAGGTCCCTGGAGCAGGAGACAAACAGAATTAATGTTTTATACCTTCGGGTATAGGTTTGAGTTTTTTCCCCCTCATGCCAAGTATTTAAAACCTCTAGAAACCCATGATTTGACAATCAATGATTGCGCGATACTTTCAATTTGAATATTCAAAGGCTTAACAAAATGGACTATCTTCTGCAGAAATCCTGCACACAGGCACCCCACAGAGAGTCCAGAGAAACAGGGAGTGAGACCCCTTTGGGTCCTGGCCCTTCCTTTTATTACATTTTGAGCATTTTGTCCCCCTTCCCACAGATAGAGCAGATGTCCTCAAAGATGCTCTGTATTTCAGCCTTCGGGGCAGCTAGGGAGCCAAGAGTGACTTAGGCTGCCCCGGCCATGAAAACCAGAGCCAGACTGGCTGACCAGACTGATTCCCGCATCCCCCATCTGTGTTTTGAGGGAAAATTCCAGGTTTTGGGGAGTGAACATGGCAGCTAGTGGGTGTGGCACAGCAAGAGGTCGCTCTGGGCCCAGGTGGGAGGCCAGCGGCCTAGCAGAGGCCTTCGCTCTGCATCTCCTATTTTTCTGACTCCTTCTGGCTACCAGGGGGCTTCCCTACCCCTTTCATCCCGCTCTTTCTGGGCCCGACACTCTGGGGTTTCAGCTCAGAATGACTGCCCATTAAGACCCTTTGTTCCTCCGCACAGAGCTGGGGATGCCAGAAGCCTCCTCCTCTGGAGACTTTGTGACTCTGGGTTTCACTACTGCACTGTGAAGTGCCCTCTTTGCTTTTTCTCCCTCTAGAGCCACCCCTGCTTTTTTGCTGTGGGAGCACATGTTAGGAAACAGTGACAGGTTTGGCTCCTGCTCATTTTAACTGAAAGGATGTGGACTTGGGTTCAAGCCTTCTTGCCTTCGTGTGAGAAGGGGGAGGGACTTGGAATCAAGCTTCCCCTTGGTCCAGGCCTAAGTCCCTCACTAATGTCTTGGGATTCTACTGGGTCACTTTCTGTGAGTACTTACTGTGCCTCTTCCATGTAATTTGGAAGGTGAGGAGACAGGAATGGTCCACAGAGGGAGAGGGTGCCAGGCCAAGTCCTCTCATAGCCACCCACGCCCTCCGCAGAAGGGGACAGCAAGAAAAGACAGAGAGGCACGGTGGGGTTCCCTTTGCAAATAACCAAGATATTTCCAGGATTCCAGACCAGGCCATGGTTTTTAGGCCTCTGCTCTTTGTTCTCTTAGTTCTCAGAAATGCAGAAAGTGTAGTTTAGCCCCAGATGCCTCTAGAAAAAGATTGGGGTGCCCCCAAAAGTGTCAAGTACAGAGGGAAGCACACAGAGCTTAGGGAAAAGACAACTGAGAATGACGAGACTGATAGGAATTGCTTGTCAGCTGAAGCCACATCTCTAGGGGAGAGGAGCAGGCCTGGGAACAACTGAGGTGGCACCTGGCAGTAGAGGGCAGGATGGATGTATTGAAATCTGACAACTTCCGGAGCTTCTTTCTACAAATGCCCCTGAGCCTGTGTCCTTGGTTTCCCTGATGGACCAGTCCTGAGGAGGGGAAGGACAGTGGGAATGGAGATAGCACCTCGCCTCCCTGCATACCTTCTTCCCCACTGTGCCTGGGCATCACCTCCTCTGAAGGAACAGTGAACCAAGCAGCTTGGAATCTAGGGATGGTCTCTTGTCCTCATAGTTTCTTCCATTACTTCTTTTCTTTGCTGCTCTCCTCCTTTTTGTTATACTCTTATTTTTTGGTTTGCTTTTAAAAACCTTCTCTTTTTTTTTGTTGCATTATTGTTTATTTCTTTCCGTATTTCTTTGTCTCTCTTCCTGTCGCTGCTTTCTTCCATTTCTTGTCTGCCCTACTGGTTTACTCCCTGGCTTCACGTGTGTCTGTGTTCCCCTGTGCTGGTCTGTCCTCCCAAGGCTTTCAGGCTTCATCTCCTTCCTAACCTCTCCTCTCATGTGGAGATGGACAGGGATGGCAGGAGCATTGAGTGCTCTTGGCAACACCATTGAAGATGATGCTGACGATCGGCTACCCTGTAGAGAAGGCAGGCCAGGCTGGGTATGAGGGGAGCTCCTTGGAAGTCAGGAGATCTGTAGGGACAGCAAGGATCTCTTTGTCCCAACCTCCAGCAGCCTGTCTGGGTGCTTCTGTGTTGACCTTGTTTCTGGGATGGCCATCTCAGTGCTGTTGCGGGCTAGCAATTTCGGAAAACTGGATTTGTCTAGGCCTGAGCCCTGTTTGAGAAAGAAGCTTCCCTCTGGTGTGTAGCCCGACATTAATGAGTTTTGGTTCCTGTTGTTTCTATAATTACAAAACTCCAGCACAGGTATTTAAGAGCCAAAGGCCATGCTTGTGGAAGTAAGGGAGAATCTTTCTAAATGGATCCTGAGAATCCTCCTTACAGATCTGAGTGGATGATCAGGCCCAGAGCAACCCTGAGACCCCAGGTTCCCACAGCATTGGCTGTTCTTCATAGGAGACTTCACAGGAGACCCATTATTATTTACTGGACATCAGGTGCTATATTGTATAGCATTCACATTCCACAGGTGAGGACAGGCTCAGAGGAATAAGTGGCATGCCAAGATCATTGAACATATCAGTAGCAGAATTAGGATTCAGACTTTGATGGGTCTAACTCCGAAGCCCTGGCTTTTTTTTTTTCTTTTTTTTTTTTGGAGACAGAATCTCACTCTGTCACCAGGCTGGAGTACAGTGGCATGATCTCAGCTCACTGCAACCTCTGCCTCCCGGGTTCAAGTGATTCCCCTGCCTCAGCCTCCTGAGTAGCTGGGACTACAGGTGTGTGCCACCACGCCGAGCTAATTTTTGTATTTTTAGTAGAGAGGAGGTTTCCCCATGTTGGCCAGGATGGTCTCGATCTCTTGACCTCGTGATCTGCCTGCCTCGGTCTCCCAAAGTACTGGGATTATAGGCGTGAGCCACCACGCTCGGCGTTTGCTCTTAACTATTGATGTTGTCTTCCTGATCTTTCCTACCAGAAGCTTTTAAACTTTTTGGACTGTAACCTACAATAAGAAATCCATTTTACATGTTCATGTGTATCTATAACAACATTTGTATTTCTAAAACAAACTTTTCATGAAACAATGTATACCTATGTATGTGAGGCAGTCTGATATTTTCTATTCTAGTCCACCTTTTCCATTTCATCCTATTTATGGAAAATATATGTTGGCTGGGAGTCACTAAGTTAATTTAATGACCCACTAATAGGCTGTGAGTGGCATTGGAAAAATACCTGCTTGTAAGATATGCGAACACACGTTTCAAGGTTGTTTGTGCATGTGGAAATATTTTGGGGTGCTATCTGTTTTACCATCAGTTTGTACGAGGAGACTAAGACAGTGTAGCTTGCTGACTTGAGAATGTTCTGTAAGGACTGGAAACTCTAGAACCTTGAAGAAACGCCTGACTAGAGGTGAGGGTAAGCTGTTAATTACACTGATTACAGTTTGTGCCTCTTAGACTGAGAACTCTTCCCTCTTGCTGGGGGCATTGCTACCCCTAGGATGTTTGCCCTGAAGTCCTGGTAGTCTCTTTGGGATTTTAATAAATGACTGAAGTAATTGTTGTGGGGTTTCAACAGGCATTCATAGGTACCTTCGCTTGGCAATATAACATAAGGTTTTGATGTTTGGGTGTTGGAAGGGATCTTTGAAGTGCTGAGAGGGACTCAGAGTCTTTTTCCAAAATCTCTGCTTGTGTCTGTCCAGCCTCTGGCTCCATTGCTTGGCTGAGATCCTGGCCCATAGTAGAATCTGTGTAGAGGAAATGAGAGCTCACTATTTGTGAGGCAGCCTGTTCCACTATTGGACTGCTTTAAATGTAGTGGTCACTGATTACGCTATAATCCAATCATGTATTAATTGGGCACCAACTATGTCCTAGGCATAGTTATCAAGTACCAGGAGTACAAAAATAAGTAAGCCTTGATTTCTGCTATCAATTATTCTTTTCTCCTACTTCTGTACTACTGCTTTTCTATTGTGAGTTTGTTTAGTTCATTAATTGGTTCATTCATTCATTCATTCATTCATTCATTCAACAACCATAAATTGATGAGCTACTCTGACCAGGTCCAGTACTAAGCCTGAAGAAGTTATGCCGATCCCATCTCCACCCCAAGCCTTCTCTTTTTGAGACTCCTCATTCAGTTTCTCTAGCTCTTCACATATCACTGTTTTTCAGATCTCTGACTATCCTTGCCTTTGACCTCAGAAATCCTGTATTTGACCTCGATCTTCTTATACCCAGTTGGCACCCAAAGTGATGGGAATAGATTAGATTTCTTTTCAAAGTTTTAAACTGAATATTTTGACTGAAAAATTTTGGCAGTCTTTTGTATGCAAATGACACTGCAGAGCATTGTTCCCCCCACAATGTAGGAGATTTTATTCAACTTAGGCACATGCATATTAAAAGACTTTCAGTATAAGGAAAAGGGATAGTTTATTCCCTCCAAATTTGACTACAGCTCAAAATTGTCTTTATTAACGCAAAGTTCTTTTGTTGCCTTGACTTTAGGACACTGTTACTGAACTTTGTGGGAAATACCAAGTTCCAGAAGATTGAATACATGCAGGAAACAAATGCTTTTTGGGCCCTAGAGTGAACATTTGGTCCATATGACAATGACCAGAAAGACTATTAGGTGAAGGTTTTTTAATGATTTGTGCTACATTAGTCTCTTCCCATAAGACATATTCAAAGTTTTAACTTTTCCTTAAGAGGCTTCCATGGGGAGCAAGCATTTGATAATTCATCCTTTAACTAAGAAAAACACCATCACACACTGCTTGAAGAATTCCTCTTCTATTACTTAAAATGTTTTTACTGTGTAACATTTAAGGCATACAAAAACATATAAAGAATACCATGATGAAAGTCTATGACTATATTATCAAGCTTAAGAAATAAAACAGTTGAGTCATCTTTCATTTATGACTAAATTAACTTATTAAAACCATTAAAACTTTTGGATTATTCCTCTTAAGATATTTTCTTAGGGAGAAGTTTAGCAGAGACATCTATCAGTTTTCCTAATCCAAAAGAGCTAATTCCTAGATATTGTATGTTTGGTCTACATTTTTTTCCTCTTGGAACTTCTAACATTTTTTACTGTTCTTCTTTTTTTAAATTGTACTAACAAAGACATTGCATATTGCAAATCCACATATATAATTTATCAGAGGTTATAATTAGAGGATATTTCTTTTTTT